ATAAAATTATATTTTTTTTATCGTAGTTTATTTATGAAGAGGTCGAGTAATATTAAATTAAAGTACCCCAAAATTTCCCGATTCCAGACTTTTGGCAGGTGAGTGTACACACCACTACAATATACATGTATTACCGGAAATTTCAAAAATGAATTTGTCACTTTGGAACCCGATATCTTGACATCTGGTGATCCCTTCGAACAAAGACAAATTTAATAGTGATATCTTTGTTCAAGTGGGGCCACCAGATGTCGAGATATCGGGTTCCAAAGTGACAAATTAATTGTTGAAATTTCCGGTAATATATTGTAGGGGTGTGTACATTAGTCCTTCGGGGACTTTTTTATGCGTACATATACATTCAACTTTCGATATACCGACGTGCAGATTCTATTGAATTTAACGACGGTGTATATCGAAAGTTGACTACCGCTACTATTACCGTAATGACATTAAATCCTTTAATTCTGTAATTTTTTACTCTTAATTTCCACATGATTATCTTTCCATAATTTCCAACATGATACGTAGTCCTTTCCAAAAATTAGTTTTGTAAGCCAAATTCAGAAATATTTCATTATGAATGGACATTACGTATGTACTTTTTTTTCTTGTGTCATGTACATCCCCTTCGTTCTTCAATATTAATGCGCGTAACGATAGTGATTATCTAGAGAATGACAATTATCTGGTCAATTGAAAGACATCAAACGATTATTGCTTATGAGAAACAATTAATGTAAAACACTAACCTTAGAATTAGCGTAATAATTCGAAACTGTATATATAATTACTTCTAGGTCTCTGAGGAGACATGCTTGATCGAAATAAAATAACAAAGTTCTTACTCGTAACAATATTACTTGTGAATAAATACACTATTATTTTATTATTTGTTGATCATCGAAGCTTGCGAGCAAAGTAGCAAGTAGTGGATGCTCCTCCACGCTAAATAAGCCGTTGATTTTGTTGAATTCAAATTTTGATTTTATTTTAATATTAAGAATATGTAACTACAACTTAGTGTTTGAACAAATACAATGTAAGTATCTTTAGAAGTAACGAGAACAATGATAGCAGAACAAACAATATATTCCTTCTCCCATCCGAAAACGTCGTTTTGAGTCATCAATTACAATGCCTCCTTCACCCGAAAATAAGACAAAGTGAAAATCATATGCTACAATAATTACATCAATTATATTGAATATTCATTTATCGTTAGCTTATATACTAGATCACTATTTAATGTACTTCACTTGGATGTAAAATGAATTTTCGTTTTACTTTGTGGATACGTACCAATTTCGTAGTATCGTTATCGTTATCGTTATCGTTATCGTTATCGTTATCGTTATCGTTATCGTTATCGTTATCGTTATCGTTATCGTTGTCGTTATATCGAATTTCTGATTGGTTCAAAAAATTCCTGATGGACTTAAAAGAAGTCTTTTATTATTTATGCGTACATGTAACACGTACACACAAAGAAGAAAGTGGTTACAGTCAAAATTCGATATAACGATATTTAGTAAATGTCGTTAGAAATGCATCGAGAATTTATTATATCAAGGAAATTTTATTAGAAGCGTTTTTGGGATGTCATCGTTATATCGAGATTTAATTAGTCATCGTTAAAACGAGTATCGGTATACGTATAGCGTTAACGATAAGGCAAAAGGGATTTGGCCTCCATATAGTCACAAATTTTTCAAAATCACACTTTTTCTGGTCCCTAAGAGCGTGATTATAATGAGGGATGACTGTATTTTGTTGGATGAAGAAGCCACTCTTACATTTTAAATTTGCAATTATTATCGTCAAGTCACTATCTAAAGAAAATTATATGTAGAAAAACTCCGCAGCTTGTAAAATCGAATTTCCTTCGCATAACAACTTGCTGTAGTATTTTTCATTGCATTGCTAAGATGAAGTTTGTTGCGAAGTTGACTTTTTTGATTTGTATAGACCAACAGCCAATTAATTTTTGATCAACATCCAATGAGAATGCAGAAATTTTTGAACTGGCTAATCAAGAAAAGGAAAATAGAAACAGGTGCCTAAATCTATCTTGGAGTACTAATTAAAAACGTCGGGGAGGCAATTTTATATGCAATCCGTAGATCAGCTCTAACCCTAATACACAGTCAACTTCGATATAACGGATCCGCGATAACATATGCACACACAACAATCGAATGTCGATATTTTTCTCAAGGAAGATAAATGCATTATTTTCCGCCGTACTAGTGGATCGAACTTGATGTTGATTAGCAATGCAATGCCATTATTGTGAATTGATGCTTTATCATATTATCCTAAGAAAGGATACAAACTTCTTAAAAGTTTTATAAGATGCATGAATGATAAGGAACGAACAGTGTTGGTAGATGCTGGAATTGGATTAGCAGCATCTTGTCCTCGTCCACTTTTCTGCCTTTGTTGAAGAATTTCAATGGGATGCTATTGAATTCTTGGCTTTTTGCGATTGCGATGCTACGGAATATAAAGATTATTTCGATGATTGGTACAAATGTGTTGGCATTAGGATAATTATCAGAGAGAAAATCATCCCACAATTATGCAAACTGGTATTCCGAACTGCGAATTTAAAAAAGATAGCGATAATCATTCAGGGTGAAACAAGTCTTCTTCCCAGTTTGCCAAATGGATCTGTTGGCCTGGCAAAATTAAAATCGGTATCATTGCAATACTTCAAACGATGCAAAAGTTATATGACCACCAAAGAATTCTTGAAGATTAACGAATTTATTCATGAAGTGAAGCTCTTTTGCAAAGTGTCACCTTCCTGGATGTGGAGATGAGGATGTTAGATGACATCATCTTTCAGCACTTTTACGATTTAATCAAGTCACTGAAACATTTGAAGCACATCGTCTTTTATCATTTTAAAGATAAAACATATATCGATTATTTATGCACTTCATTTCCAAACGAAATCTCTAGTAAGTCTTCAAATTGGACAACAGAATTAGCAAAAAACCTTGGGGAATATACGAGATTGGAAGAAATACCATTTCTTGCTTGTCGTATAAATCCGGGATTTCACGTATCATTCGATTCTGGGCAAACATATCAACGAATTCAAACTCTCTACGCCAATTATAGTTTGATTGTCCGAGCGCGAATGACTTCCTAATTCCCTTTCTAAAGATCTCATTGAAGAAACTCGCCGTAATCAAGATTGTAATCAAGCATTATATTTCAAAAAATATATATCTCTTGATAAATAAATCTTTTCTGTCTAGAAGCAATCCGTCTCAGTCTTTTTTTGTAATAATCGTAGTCTGGCGGAAAGAGAAGATCACTGTCTTCTCTAATTTTTATTGAAAGCAAATGGTTCCGTAGTTTGAACTGGTCGATTCCGCAATGGGGAATACGTAAAAAAATCAAGTAGAGGTGATGGTTTCATAACATTGTATCATTCTGTGATACTTGCCGACCTGGCTTTTTTTACATGTCAAAAATATTAACGTTAAAAAAATTCTTCGTCCTGATAAAAAACGAATCTATTTGTTATTAATACATGTATATTGCACCTTTAATTCTTGAATAGGATATCCTACCAATCAATATATTGTGTACACATGTGTACCGTTAAGAATAAAAGAGGAATATCCGACATCTGAATCGGAACAAAAAATTTCGCAATCCAATTATAAAAAGGCTTTCTTTGAGTCTAAATATGTAACTTGAGATTTCTAAGCCTGAACATTAACGTTAATAAATCATTCGATCTCCGATAAATTGACTCGGAAAATTGCGCATAAAAGTATGCACATTAACTCTGTTTAGGAACTTGTAACCCTACCGATATAAATACTGACACAAGTTTTATTTGCTGCGTACACATACTTAAACATTATGACTTCGTTTGAAACTAAAGACGAAAATGGCGGCGGTAATTTTTTCATCCGTTATTTGTCATTGTTCAATGTAGATTTTTAACCCAACATATATAAATCAATAATAAATAAAGTGGTTCGTCGTCGTCGTCAGAATAGTCACCACAAATTTCAAAATTTAAATTGCCAAAATTCTCTCACAAATTTGAAATATTGCATACGTAACGCTCTTGGGAAATATGCTTTTTACACTTGCATTGTTTTATTTTTGCTCTGTTGCTATTTTTTGCAAAGATTGGTAAATATGATTTAAATAAAATCAATCTATCACATTGATGGTAAATACAAATTAAATAGTTCATTACAAAATTTTATTAGATCACATATTCTCCAACTCGTCCGGTGGCGTTTACTCACACTTTAAATGAATTGGCTGGTAATGTGAAGCGGGTCGAGGTGGAAGGTAAATTTTACATATAATTTTGAAATTTATTCAAATTAAACCGCAAGCAAATTTTATCTGCTTATTTATTTCATTATCAGGCCTTGACAATCTAATTGTTAATCGCGTCCTTTTACGGGATCTCGCGAATAGAGTCGAACGTTATACAAGCATCAATAAAAAGACAAGCCAGAAAATCTCAGTTTCATTACGATCTCTCGGTGATTTGTCATTCGACATCGCCTTGGATCTTGATGAGATGGTCAACAAAGGAGATAATTTTTTATCCCATTTTCAACGAGATGTTCGTGCAATACACGCAGAAATTGTGTCAAATGGCCGAAAAGTTCGAGTATCGATTGTCGCTGGACACTTGGAAAAAATTTTAAGACTAGTTCATAATCTCGAACTTCACGTACGAAAAGTGAAATCGAATGTTCATCATGGAATGAATATTCGAGATAAAGTCGACCAGTTATTATTGGATGGAAAATATGAGAGTCAAAAATTTCATGAGAAACGTAAACAGCGACCACTTGCCAAATTCATTTTTGGCGAATCAAACGCTGCGTTGCAGGCAGAACAGGAAGTTCACAGTCTCGATGTGACGACGAACTTATTGAAAATGCTGGGGGATCAATTGAATGTGTTGGATTCTAATTTATTGAGATTTCAGAGACGTCTTTCTGATCTCGTGACCGAGTTGAAGAATGCGGATGGAAGTTTGGAGTTTACATCGGATGATAGTAAACTATTGGAAGATGCGGTCGAAAAAGCTAGAATTGGTTCGAAGGTGTTTATTAAAATGGACAAAGATTTAATCTCAGCAAATAAACCAAATTAATGGCAACTGAGTCACATTTATCGGACAAGAATATAGGGGTTAGTAAGGTATTTGTAAAGATGGTTAATAAGCATGCATCAATTTTAATATCTAATATAATTAAGTGCATTAATTCTCCAATTTCAAATCTATAGGATCTATAAATTACCGTTGCAATTATATTAATATGTTTAAATTCAAACGGATGCTTATACTGTACTCTTAAAAGGTTGAATAACGATAGTACATTGACGAAAGAACTTACGTACTGTAATTTTAAGTTATCGTTACAATAAAACTTATGTTAATATTTTTACAAGCAAAACCTGGTTCAAAATATGACACTGGTGGTTGCAGTACTAGCGCTAGCCACCTAAAAGGTGTCTAATCCCTAAATCTTCTGACAAGAGCCTAATAATTGCAAATGAGTCGAGATTTTTGCGGTCTTAATTAACAAGATCTGCTGGTGACTTTAGAAAGGAAATTGAAGAAAGTTTATTTTTGAAAAATACATAACTACATGTATAAAACAGATACGTATGTGTATTTAGTAAAAAAATTTGCCTACAAATGAAACAGTGATAATTCTCTGACGAATCTTAAATGGCAGTGTTATGTTAAAACTAATGTAACAAATGAAGACAATGACGTATGTATTATCAATGGAAAAAAGTAACAAAAATACCATTATTTTTTATGTTATAAGGGAATTTCACTTTGCACAATAAAAGGATTGTGATCTAATAAAGTAGTCAGCATTTTCTTTTGAAATCACCTTATTTTATTGGAGATGCTTCTATAGTTTTTTTACTCGATACCTCTTCATTTCTTTGATTTGGTATACTAAAATCGAAATGTGTGTTGCAACATCAAAAAAATAGTATGGTGCATAAAATTTAAGGTCATCAAACGTTTGTATTTTATAAAATGATAAACTTCTTTACTAAGAAGTAAATACAAAAATTTAATCCGTGAATAGGCTCAGAAAAGGCCTATTCTATCAAATTCACGGATTAAATTTTTTGTATTTACTTCTTAGTAAAGAAGTTTATCCATTTTATAAAATACAAACGTTTGATGACCTTAAATTTTATGCACCATATCAGGTCGTACTCATTCATACAAGATTTATATCATGACTCCACTCACCGAATGGTTGTTCGCCTGTTATAATTCCGTACATAACCATTCCAACACTATAGATATCTGCAGCTTGTGTGTATGGCTTTCCATTTAGCACCGCTGGACTAATATAAGAAAGAACTCTGCAAAATCCTTGATTATATTTTTTTATAAATGTTGGACCGGTTCCGATAAGTTCAAAATCGACAATATGAACATTATAATCTATCAATATATTTCCAGGGTGAAAATTACGATGCACAAATCCTTCTTTATGAACTTTACACAATTCATAGAGAATATCATTTAAATAACATAACCTTTATTCCAAGTTAATTTTTAGAATTAATATTTTCGCGTAGATCGCCATTTTCTGTTTATTTCATTGCGTACCCATTTGCAACTGGGCTTTTAGTCAATCCATAATATTTCAAACCAGAATTGCACTTTAAAGCAGTCGTTATCCATTTTGAAAACTTGTTTATATTAGAAAAAAGCATTGTGCTTACACTTTGAAGTTATTTATTTTTTACCTCATTTATAAACTCCAAATGTGCATAATGAGTTCAACATAACATTGAATTTTCTTCATGATCCCATCTTCTAGTTCCGTCCAACCAGGTCGCTTTATAAATTGTCCTAGAACCTCCTTTTGCAAGATATTCAACATTGGTAAATCTTTCAAAAGGGATCCATTCAAAAATTTCCTTGCATTCATTTACTGGTTTGTCGATATAAAACTTCATAAAATAAATTGTACTAAACACATTTTTTGCAGTAATCATTTTTTGACAATGAATGCATTGACTACAAGCATGAGTTTTCGACATTTCTGTATATTAGTAAATGTAATATTAATCGGATTATCATATCGATATCGATATATAACGATAAGAATTCTTTATAGAACTTCTGTAAATCGATTTCGGAGTTTTGATTGTATCCTAGTTTCAGTTCAGTTCAGGCAAAGTCCGATGCGGAACTGAACTGAACCTAATAAATGGAACCGGTTATGGAGATAACAATAGTACAATCTTTGAACTAGTTCAAAGATCGCAGTTCAAAGCCTGTTATGAAACGATTAATCTCTGAACTCATATCTGAGAGATTATACTAAGTATGTCACTCATTTATTTTTATTCAACAGCATTTTTTATTATAGCTTTACCAAACAGCTACATACGTAGTCCATGGTTGTGCAAAAAATGGATATCTGCAAATGTGTTAACGTCAACATTGATTACAAATAGATCCACTTAAAGGATTGTGCATCGTGATTTTCATCCTGGACATAAGGTGGAAGGGGGTATTTTGACGAATGGGGATATTGTGGTGGATAAAAAAACATGCTTAAAACACAAATAAATAAAAGAAAGTTAAATATGATAATTATATTGTCAATATATGCTTAAGACCTGTATACAATACCCCCATTCGTCAAAATACCCTTTCACCTTATATTAGTAACAAAGCGATTTACTACTCAGATTGTCAATTTTCTACTTACTGGTCTGACAAATATTAAAAATCTAATCGAGTAATTTATGGAGTCCTTCCTTACATGGGTCCAGAGATACTACAGTTTGCACGGGAAGTAATGGCGTTCAGATTTTTTTAAAAAATTTTATTAATAATCGTAAAAAGAAAAGCTATTTTCGAAATGTACTTGAGTAGGACAATGTACCCACATATAACATTAATACATGTACATGTACTTGGTTACATATTGTAACACTTCCCTCAATTGTGTGAATATACATGTATATCGTCGATGGCTGCTCAAAAGACAGAATTTACCAAGATCGTAGAAAATTCAATTGCAGCGCTTTCAGACGATTTGCGAGAAATTAGTTTAAAGATGATTATAAACTAATGATTTTCGAATAAGGATTCATTTATTACATTCGATTTATTAAAAATACATAAAATTAGATTTACGCAAAGCCTGAAATTGCATTCGAAGAACACTTTGCACATAACCTTTTGACGGATTATCTTGAGAAAAAGAGATTTAAAGTAACAAGAAAATCATACGGATTAAATACTGCTTTTCGTGCGGAATATGAAAGCGAGGTTACTGGTGGACGGACTGTGTCTTTTAATTCGGAGTAAGCAACAAGATTTTTTGATGATTTTTTTGCATTTATTTTTATTAATTTGTTTGTAGGTACGACGCATTGCCTGGGCTTGGACATGGATGTGGGCATAATTTGATTGCGATTTCTGGTGTCGCTGCTGCTTATGGTATAGACTTATAAAAATGAAGTAGATTTGGCATTAGAGTTAGCATATTGAATAAATGATTTTATTTACGATAAAAAGGTGTAATGAATGCACCTAAAGCTTTAAGCATTCCTGGAAAAGTAGTGTTGTTTGGAACACCAGCTGAAGGTTGTTTACTCTTTTATTCTTTTTGATTTTCTTTATTGCATTACTTTAATTATATTCTTACAATATATATATATATTGTAAGCGGTAAAGTAGAATTGATCGAAGCTGGAGCGTATAAAGGAGTCGATGTGTCTTTGATGGTTCACCCAGCGTAATTTAATTTAATTTAATTTAATTTATTTATTTAGAAACGGAATTTATAGCTATTTTTAATGCGAAATTTTTCCCGATTTGTCATGCAAAAAGGTGGGGAGATTTATTGGATCCAGTTTATCTAGCTATAACAAGCGCGAA